GATTCTCAACTTGCAGATGTCATTCGTCGTCAGTCTGAAATGATGCAGGCTTCGGAGAAGGTTACAGCGGACCGATTGAAGTCTCTGCAGGATTTGTTAGGCCATTCTTCGAAGTGCAGGGCTGTTGAAAAGGCTGGTGAGGGGCACCCCTGAAGTTTGCTGTTGCCAACCCTACGCAACTTCTGGGGAAAGAGGATGTGTTTGAAGGTTGGCAGGTTGACGTGGGTTGCTTTAGTGAGACTTCGCATACGGCTCGGGCCTCGAGGGTTATTCGGTCTTCGTTTAAGCGTCTTGGTTTTCGTTGTGCCTTGGGGCGGCCGGTTCCTGATAAGTTTCGGGTTGACAATCCCGTGGGGAGTTTGCGAGGATTGTCCAAGGGTGTTGCTGTTGTCTCGAGGTTTCCGGTCTTCTCTCGAGAAACTGTTTTGGTCTCTGCGGAAGTCTGGGAGCCCTGTCGTTTGCTCCATGTCACGGTGCAGGCCTGGGATATTCCAGTACATGTGATTGTTACGTATCTTGCGCCCAACGCGGTTTTGGGTTCTTTGAAGTAAGACTCCAACTGCCGCATCGTTGCTGCGGCAGCGTTGCTGGCAGAACGGTTGATGGGTCCTGTGCTTGTAGTTGGCGACTGGAACTGTCCGGCAGATTCCTTCGAGGCTGTTCGCTTGTTGGGATCGAATTATGGCTTTGCTGATCTGGCAGCCTTGTGGTCGGAACGCACAGGGTCACCTCTGGAACCCACGTGTGCAGGTGCGACCCGTCATTCCTTTGCTTTTGGAAATACAGAAGTGCAGCGCTTTCTGGGGCCAGTGGAAGTGCGTCATCCTTTTGACTTGGACAAACATGCGGTTCTGGTTGTGGATGTACAATTTCCCAGGGCGAATCCGACTGTTCTCCGATGGCTTCGACCCCAGCCGTTAGCTGACCTGGTACCAGACGTGGAGCGATTGTCCTGCCTAGGTGGTGAGGTGTTGCCCAAGTTGGCGGAGTCGGTACGCACAAGCCTTGCTGCACACCGGCCCGATGAAGCCTTGTTGTCGTGGGCTTCAACCGTTGAGCAGGTTGTTTGTGATGCTGCTGAGGTCGATGGCCAGACGCGGCGTGCTTTTGTAGGTCGGTGTTCTACGGACGGCCCAGTTGCCATGAGCCTTGCCCCGCCTCGAGTTCGTTTTGGTCGGCCTGGGGATGTGGCGTCTCCACTTCTTTCTCTTACGCTTCAGCAGAGGCGCTGGCTCCGGCAGGTGCGTCGGCTCAAGGCTCTGTTGAAGTTGCTTGAAGCTATGGAAGTGCGTGGAATGTTGACCGGTGATCTGGCACGCGTTGGTGCTTTGTGGCGCGCTGTTTTGGCTTCGCCTGGTTTTGGTCATTCCTTTCGGAACTTTCTGCAGGTTCGCGGTTATTTTGTCCCGTCTGCCGTCCCTGGGGCGCATTGGTTGCGTGAGGTTGGTTCCTTCCTTGAGTCGGCGCTTCAGGATCTATGTCGCCAGCTTGAGTGCAAAAAGAAACGGATGTTTGTTGCGGACCTTGAAGAAAATTGGAAGAATCAAGGTGGCTCTTTACCCTTTCGGCTAATTAGTGATGAGCAACCGGATGCAATTACAGCGGTTACTATTCGTACGCATGTCTTGCTTGCAGCACAACGTTGGTCTCCCCTTGGTCTTGAGTGGATCAAAGTCCAGTCGGTGGTCGGCCTTCCTGTTGGGCAGGTCCTGGATGGTTTGAGACGTGTTGTCATTCGTGCCGTGGAGGCCCCTTTCATTCAGTTGGACGCTCGTTTGACAAGGCGTGAAGCAGCTAGTCTGTATCTTGATGTCTCCAGTGCTGACCCGCAGGATTGGGCCCCCCATTTCTTGTCTGGGTGGAATCGATATTGGCAGCGTGATGATGCGGAGTCCCTTACGGTTGAACATCGGGCATTGCTTGACTTGATTCCAGAACGGGATGAGGCTCCTCCATCTCCACTTACATTCGATGATTGGCACCGTGCAGTTTCTCGTACCAAACATCATACTATGCCTGGTGTAGACGGGTTCTCTCAGGCTGACTTGGCTCTGTTGCCGCCTCCTCTTGCGCAACCTTTGCTGCGGATCTTTTCTTGGGTTGAGGCGGACGGCTCTTGGCCTAAGCTGCTTTGCATCTGGCTGGTTGTTCTGTTGCGCAAAGTCCCGAGTGGCCCTGTCACATGGGATTTGATTCGCCCGATTAGTGTGGCTGGTCTATTGTACCGCGTGTGGAGCAAAATGCGCACGGCTGCTATGGTGCGGCATGCTGAATCACTTGCTTCTGAGACAGTGCGCTCACGTTGTCTTTGGGGTCTTGAACTTGATTTGATTGATCATTTCGTTGCGGCCAGAAGACCGTGCTCCGGTTTTGTTCTTGACATTCTGAAAGCTTTTAATGTTGTTCATCGTGGGCTCCTGCGTGGTCTGTTGCGGCGCTTGGGTTTTCCAGGTCCTGTGGTTCAGGCTTGGTTCAAAGCTTTGGCTTGCTTGAGACGGCAAGTGTTGGTCGGAGGCTGGGTCTATGGTGATGAATGCGCTACCACCGGCATCCCTGAGGGAGACCCTTTGTCAGTCGTCGGCGTGTACGTATTGGCTATTTTGTTCCGGGCCATTGTCCATCGGTTTGATGCGGATGTTCTGGTACTCACGTACGCTGATAATTGGGAGGTTTTACTCGATCACTTTGACCGCCTTCCTCCGCTGGTGGATCATATCCTTCGTGTCATGGATGTGTTGGTTGTGGTCCTTGTCGCCGGCTGGGCGTAAGCAGTTGCGTTCCCTGCGTTTTCGTGGCCAGGGTATTCCGGTCCTGTTGTCTGCCCGGGTATTGGGCGCTGATGTGGCATATTGTTATCGTCGCGCTGCAAAGGTTCGCAACACGCGTGTCAGGCAGTGTCATGCTCGTTTTTTGAGGATTCGTGCGTTGCCGGTCTCTCGAGTCCTCAGGACGCAGTTGGTCCTTCGGGGTGCGTTCCCGGCGGCGTTACATGCGGCTGAGGCTACGGTTATGCCTGTATCTACCTTTCGACGCCTTCGGACTCAGGCAGTTAAGGCGGTCGGCTTGTCTGGTAGCGGGGTCAATCCTTGGCTCGCAGCTTCGGTTGGGGCCTCTCAGGTGGTGGATCCACAATGGGTCGTTTTGTTGAGTCGAATCAGGTTGTATCGTCAGATTCGCCGCGACTTTCCTGGTTACGGTCACATTTCCTTGGAGTGCCTTGAACGGTCCAGGGGGAGGTTTCAGGGAACGACCAGGCAGTTGGTCAGAACTTTGGGCGCCCTTGGTTGGTCTCGTCGGATGCAGGAGACGTTTGTGGATTGCCAGGGTCGTTCTTTTGATCTACGGTTGTCCTCCATCCTGCACATTGAGACCTTACTGCTCAGCACATGGGCGGACCACGTGGTTCAACGGGTAGCTATGCGGAAGGGGCTTGAAGGTCTTGAGTCTCTTGACATTGAAGCTTCACGTCCTTCCAGGTCGCTTCTCCCGAGCGAACAGGCGTTGCTCGCTCAGCTTGTGGTTGGCAGGCACTTTACGGCGGACGCTACGAAACATTTTAGTGCTGGTGATGGGACTTGTCCACTTTGCGGTCTCGATCCTGATAACCGTCCCCATCGTGTTTACCACTGTGCTGCTTTGGAACAGTTGCGGAAGCGGGATCCTCTTTTGGCGCAGTGTCCTCGGGAAGTCCCGCAGGTCACGGCGTGCTTTGGCCTGTGGCCTGAGATCGAGGGTTTGCGGGTGTGGCAAGCAGAGCTTGATGCACACGAGTGTGTGACTGTGGAGCGTTGTCGAGTCCAGCAGGCGGCGCTTTTGTTCACAGACGGCTCACGTCTTTTCCCGCAGGATTCTGTGTTGCATTGGGGTGCCTCCGCTGTTGTCGAATTGGATGATGTCCATGGGTTTCGTATTGCCTTTAGTGGTTTTCTGCCTACTTCCCAGCAGTCTGTTCCGCGTGCAGAGATCTATGCTGGCTTGGTTGCGGTACAGTTATACACTCGCTTCGTGTTGTTTAGTGATTGTCTGCACTTTGTCCGCAAAGCTTCGTTATGGCGGTGATTGCCCTTGTCCAGAAAAGAATGGGGATCTTTGGCTTCGGTTTTGGGAGGCGCTCGATGGCGTTGACCTTGAGGCTAGCTCAATTCACTGGATCCCGGCACATCTGGACCCTGCGACGGTTTCAGGTGCGGCTCGTGTTCTTGTGTTAGGCAATGCCTGGGCTGATCAGGTTGCCAAGTCATTACTGCGGAATGCTTACGAGAAGCTTGCTCACTACCGAACAGTTGTGCAACGTGTTGCATGGCGGCGGTGTTGGAAGCCAATTCTGCAACGTTTCCATCTGGATGCTGCGCAATTTGCCGTGATTAAGATGCCTCCGGTTCGGTCGGAGGCTGGTCGCCCCTTTTCTGTCGAGGTTGGTGAAGTTGAGTGGGTTCCTTCTCCTTTGATTCTCCAGGCTGGTTTTCATTTGCGTTTTCTGTGTAATTTGTCGGGTTGGTTGGCTACACTCCGTTGGTCGCTTTCTACAGTTGATGAGGAGTGTTGGGAGATTTCTTGGCTGGAACTATTCTGGCAGTGGGTTTCTGACTCCGGCACCCTTCCGCCTGTGTAGGTTGATGGTAGATGGGTTGATTCGTTGGACGCTCCGGACGTTGTGTGTTGTCTGCCTTGTGTGCGTGTTCTGTTTGCTACTTGGCGGCGCGGTGTCAGGTGTCTGCGGGGTTTGTTGCCGGGTTGGGGCAATGTTTCTGCGACGGACTGGGTGGCGCGTTCGCTCGGCTCGCTCCGTCTGCCACATTTTTGGTCTCCGCGATTGTATTTTAGTGTTGTGTGGCCCGCGAAAATAGCTTGCCACAGAACATGCTCGAGATTCGAGTGAGTGAGAGAATAAAAAAATCCAGGACGGACTTGCCAACATCCCACCTTGTATTCACGAGGGTGTGCCCACAAAAGAAATAGTCGTTTGAAAGAAAACGACCAACAAGAGTCCCTTTTTTGAGGTGGTGAAAGACCAGAAAGATGTAAAGAAGGCTGAAGTGAAAGAGAAAGTTGAGGCGCCACGGGGAAGAAGTTCGGATGATCTTGAGAGCAGAATGCAGGCCTGTGATGGCTCCTATATAAACGCCACTTGGTGGGCCCCAATGGATCTAATCCTCAGTTTTGCTGGAACAATGATGACCTTGGATAGAGGCTGCCAAGATTTGAGGCTTTTCACATCGACTCAGCGACTCACCTTGTGTCACCGAAAAAAAAACATCGTGAACGTGAGCCACTCTCAATGTTTTCTGAGCTTTCTCACCACGGGAACTAATTGTTACTGTAGGCTCTGTTTTTGTAGGCTGTTGATTCATCAAAGCCCCCCTCATTAGGATGTTGAAAACTCTCCAGTCCTGGAAAGTGTTTGATTGATCAACAGTCAACATGACCGTCAACACTGCAAGGCAGAGGGCTAGAATCTATTTTGGGTCGGATGGAGGTGTTGTCATTTGTGAATCGTTTACATATGTTTACATGACCACCTTTTTCGGCCCATTTTCGGATATGTCGGACGGTTGGGTTCCGAAAAAGGTTCCACTGAAAAGGGCACATGGGGTAATGGGGTAATGTAGACGCTTGATTATATTTCACACCCCATATGAAGAGGATGTCCAATGCAAGTGGGAGGTTCTACTAATAAAGAGTCTACATTACTTCCAAGTTGAGGGCTTTGTTGCCATGTCTTTGAACTTCGAGCTACCGGCCGTGGAGTGTTCGAACGTTGGGGAAAACCCGCGAGGAGCCGGAGGAGGATGAGGAGGAGGACCCAGAGGCCGACGATGGGTGATGTGCATATCATATCTCTTCCAAGTACATGTAGACTCTTGAATCGACATGAAGAGGGTGTCATTAATCAAGAGTCTATATGACATTCAATGTCATTTGCATGGAGAGACCATTTAGAAGATACCTGTCAGTTTGCGGCCCCAGGCCATTCTAGTCGTTTGGGCATCACTCGGGGTGGAATCATCAAGTCACACCCACAGCAACGATGTCGACCGGGCATGTCGATGGGATCGAAGAATCGGTTGTCTTGATTGCTTGAGAACCATTGGACCCCACATCCCAAGTCTGTTGGAAAGTCCCTGGGTCCCATGATCACAGCGATTTGAGTTTTGTCCATTTCATGAATCCAATGCCAGTTCCATTGGGCGCTGTGTTGGGCCGCAGATGTCACGTCCAGGAGGTTTCGAGCTTGCAAATGTGATTCGAGAGTATAGAAAAGTGATGTATGATGATGTGTCTGTTTAAATGTCGATTTGTGCCAATCCAGCACGAGGGGAGGCATCTTAGGGATGCACCAAGAAATCAAGTCGATTCTCTCACCATTCAGCAGTACATAGTTGCAGGATGTTGCGGATTGCCCTTTTGACCCCTGAGCACACAACAAAACCAGGATAGTGTTGTAAAAACTTGAGCTGTAGTTGGCCTTGAGGGGATCAAAAACATCGGTCGTGTACCTACCAAGATTTGGTCTATGGTACGAAACCCAGTGGTTTATATATTTACTGTGGTTTGAGAATAGATGGCACAATCCCCAAGTTTAGTGGTTTATATGGATCCCCATCTGTCTAGGACATCTTCGCTCTCGACGGACGCCGCCCAGGCGGGATGCCCGGCACCCGCAGACGTCGGTGCTGGCGGTGCGGGCGGCGGACCGAACCCGGCCGAGGAGCGAAGGGGTCCGGGCAGTCGGGTGTGTTGACTGTGCGTTGAGGTGGTCAAACGGGGCGAAGTCATGGGGCCTCACTGACCGACTGATGAGTGAACAGGGTCCACCCTAGTGAACCCATTTTTTAGGATTCTTGCGTTTAATCTAAACAGATACAGTAGAGATCAGAGGTCAACATGATGTGTTTTCTTTCAGAGGAGATTCTTGCCCATAGCTGGTCGAGTGACCTGGCATTTTCGTTTGGCTGTGAGGGCGCAACGAGGGGGGGTGGCCACCTGAAGCTTGCAGGTGTTCAAGAGCAGAAGGGTGTGGCAACATCCTTTTTCAGTGGGGGCTGTGGGAATCCAACTGCTGGAACTCAATTGAGTAGCCAGTTGATCCATATCATCTCCGACTTCCTTCGGCCTTCGAAATTTGAATTTGGGTGCCATGTCTTTCTCTCCAGCCTCGTCACCAACCGTGCCCAGCCGCTGGAAGTGCACATCCGTCGAGAGGGTCGGATCCGGCACAGGGCATTAGCTCCCGCCGCCGGTTTTCAGGAGCCGGAGCGAGATGAGAAAGAGAAGGACCATGTCACATGAGTCAGGTTGACATATATATGGAGCTAAGAAAGAGGAGTTCACCGGAAGTTTCTTTGAGTGTTCGTCTCCGTTACTATGTCCTTTTGATGGCTCAGGGAGCTCACAGATTTTTTGACCCATAGCCAGGTGATATTTGTTCAAATATGCTCAAATCATCTGGATGCATACTGCACACCCCAGCTGTCGAATGCTGTTTTCACGAAGCTGTCGACCGTCCTAGGAGGGAGCAGATGAGGATGAACCGCAGGAGGTGCACACGGAAAAGAAGAAGACCAAAGGAGTCCCAGGAAAGGACAAGAAGCATCCCAACTCAGGCAAAGCAGCCAAAGAAGAGAAGCCCGAAGCAGAAGATGAAGGAGCATCAGACTCAGTTTTTGTTTTGAACGCAAGGACACACCTCAGAGCAGTTTATGCAAAGTGATTCGAGGGATGACTGCAACAGCAAGTGCATTTGTCCTTGACATAAGGAACACGAAGCTCCAGAAGCCACGAAGGACATACAGTAGCAGGTCAAAACCTGATGGTTTGTTTCGTTTTGGAGGCAATACGAGGGCACCTCATGTCATTGGCATCCCCATGTTCCATGCGTTGTGCTTTCGAAAGCGACCAACGGAGGGTGAGGCGCTCGGCTCCGCAGGAGCCAGCTGACAAGCCCAGTGCCATGCCTCAGAGACTGGGAGAGCCGAAACTGACGTGTGACATGACTCCTTTGATGCAGCCCGCCCCACCTGGCAGTCATATTCTACCAAGCTAGGGACAAAATGAGTGACTAAGATGTGCAAAGCCTGAGACAAGTGTGAATAGAAACACGAGGCACCAACGAGGGTGGTGCCTTGTCTACGCTGTTCTCAAATCAAGATCGTGGGGACTGGGGGGGGGGTTCAATGGATCTTTGCAGGGATTTGGGAGTCACTATAGACTTCAGTACATGGTCTGCAAAACCCATCTCTTTGCCATTCAACTTGGTGGGCCTTAGCTAGGAGGCGACTGGAGGACTGGAGTGGTGACCAACCCAAGTCCTACCCGGAAAACTTAAATAACATGAAAAACATTGGAAAAACAATTGTGGAAATTGAGGACACCCCACTAAACATGTCAATGTTTGGTTCACCTTTTTTCTGGAGAAACCGCTCCGCAGTTGGATAAGTGTGAGGTTGTGTTGGCCCTGCGTGGCCGTTCTCCGCGGCGGCCGGGCAGGGGGGGTCGGCCGAACATGAGTGAACGCTGAGGCAAGTATACCGTGGCAAAGGTCAAGAGTGTTGAGGTCGTGAAGAAGAAGAAAGGGTGGCCAGCTCAGAGACGTGTTTCGCGGAGCGCGGCGTCCCGGCGGGATTCCGAATCCGTCGCCAGAATGGCGAGCGGCCTGGTGTGAGTCAAAGTAGAGATGGTTTGGAAAACCAAGCCTCCAACAGCCACGTGCTGGCAGAGAACGAAAGAACAATGGAACAGCACAGTGATCGGAACAGTGGAAACCCACGAATTGGTTTCGCATCTTTGTTCTTCGCTCAGTGATCGTCCCATCTTCGGGAAGGGGGATGTTGGCATGTATGTGTATGTTAATAGGAGACTTCACGGGTCCCAACGGTCCCAACCAATGGATTTGGGTCTATTCCCTTCTTACAGGAGGTCGTTGCCCGGGCAGATGCAGGTCTTTCCTGGTGGAGCTGGAAACGGGCTCCGGCACTGTGCCTGTGGTTTGGACACCTAGGCGTGTGGAGCCTCCATCGCTTTCGTGCCGTGTGTGTGTCTGCGCGTTCGACGACCAGGTGTTGCTGGGGGGGTTGCCTTGGTTTTTTGGACAAGCCAAGCGCCAGGTCAAGTCACATCGGCCGAATCGCGATAGGAGGAATCGCTCATAGCAGTGCCACTGCAAGGCAGATCTCAGGAAAAGAGAATCATCAGGTTGTTTCGTTCCATTTCAGCTGATGAGATAGATACTTGGGGGACAGAGGTTTGCCCCATGTTAACTGTTAACACTTGGTGTTTTTTGTTGCTAGTGAGACGTCCGACAGTCGTTGATTTTTGAATTACATTTGAATTCCTCCCAGGTAGCTCGCGAGGATTCTCACAGAGAGCTTGCCAAAGTGATCAAGTAATTCCTCCCAGACCGGAGGTTGAGAGGTATCCAGAGGTCTGGTAGATATCCTCTGGGAGGGTTGAGGTTGGGAGGTATCTTCTCCCCAGACCAACTCATTGGGAACCTCTGTCAAAGGTGGGAGGGCCTTCAGGGCTCGCAGGGGTCGACCTAACCTAACCCACCATTCGATGGAAAATATGGGCAAACCATTTGTTCCATGTGTGTTTTCTTTGGCCAACAGGTTACCTGTCAGGCCATGTGGCTTCCGTTGACGCCGAGGTGTTCACTCGTGAAACGGCCGGAACACGTCCGTTTGCGGGTTCCAGCTGGCCGAAGGGTTCGGTAGATCTTCCAATCGGAATTGTTCGAGTGGGCTGAGTTTGGTATTTCCAACCGAGGTGAAGTGACCTGAACTAGGACCCGTCACCTGGAGTACCCAACTGGGATAGTCGAACGATCGGTCTTTACACTAGCAACCCTCAAAAGCCCAGTGACGGGCGTGCCCCTTCTGGTCCAGGCCCGGTTATGCGAGCGCTTCGCGGGCGCGGCTCAGAGAACGGGACGAACGAGATGCGCTTTTCGGCTTCACTGAGGTGACGCACTACGAGCACCTGGAAGAAGGGCAGCGTGGGGGCTCAGGTGCAGATGGGCTCAGCATGGTGTCAGGTGATGGGATGTCTTTGTTAAGAGGAATTCACCTCTAGATTCTACGCGCGGACTCACTGCTATGCTGTTGTACGGCAAGCCAGCCGGACTCGCAGCCGGTCAGAGATCAACGAATTCACCTCTTAGATTCCAGGATGTGATTGTAAGGTTCATGTCTTTTCTAAGAACCACTGGTGAACTGAATTGTCTGCTGACACCACTGGTGAAGATGCTTGGGTTGGACATGGGGCCACTGATGCAGGAGGAAGATCCTATAGTTCAATGATTCATTCTCGGCTGGAAAGTACCAGGGTACGAGTACCGGACGGTACCAGGGTTTGGAGCTATCCCCTAGTTGTCCTAGTTTGGTGCTTGTTTGGAATTGTGGCACTCTTACTTACGGCTTTTCTAGAAGTTATTACTTAATCTCTTCAGCACCTTTGAGCATGGATTCATGATGTTTGTAGGGGGTTGTCCATCATGAATGCCAGGGGGGAACAGTATATTGAGGACCATGACGATTACCATCGACCAGGTGGATGAGAGTCTTACCATCAAAAACCGCGCTCTCCAGAAGTTTGGGAAGTTGAGAGTTCAATCAGGGGGCATGACAAGGCCACGAGTGACGAGGCCGCACCGGGAATTGTTTGTTTGTTGTTGGATGTTGTTGGTTCAATTCATTCGAAAGGCCACCAGGTTCGGGCGTGTGAAGGTCAGTGCCAGGATTTCCATACGAACAAGTTTTCCGCGCACACGGTCTTTGGGGGGGGAGCTTCCAATCCAAAAAGCAGTGACTGGGGGCCCCACCCAAGGGCCGGGCTTTGGGCTTCCAATCCAAGACTATCTGGGATCCTCCAGGCTCTAGCGAAATCCTCCAAATCCCCAAAGGTGCAAAGACCGGACTCCCAAAACCTGGGTGTTTCGCACCGCCACATCGGTGCCGGTGATACCGTCCACTCCCCAGTCGTTCCGAGAAGGATGCGAGTCAAATTTCCTTCGCTCAGAGGGCGTGGCAAAAAGGGAGGAAGACAGTTCAGCGACTTCTCCAAAAAGGACGACAGCTCTTCAACACATCTCTTCACCTTCAACCGCGCCGAGTCGAGGTTGGTGATCTTTGCTCCCGAAGGCTCCTTCGTTCAGGGGAAGGAGGTGAAGAGACAGAAGGTGCTGCGGGCGAACCCCATCGATGTCTGTGCGACGCACCGCTCGCAGAGGTTCTTCGTTTGGGAGACAGCGACTTCTCCAGCGGAGGGCCGTCTTTACATCCTTTTACTATTGGTTATCGTTATAGTTAATGTGTTTGGTTAGTTGATGTTATTGATGTTCACTGTTAGTTAGTAGATTTGTATGCTATTTTTTGGGGGGAGATCCCGCCTATATCATACCCAATCAACACCTCAATTCTTCCCAAGAAGGACCGGTCTCCAGTGTCTCAGGGTGCCTGGACGGTCCACGATCCCCATCGACCGGAGAATCGTGGATCCGCTATTTGTAGTATGATTTGGTATTTGCTGACAATACATCCAGTGATCGTGTGAGTTGCTGTATGGTATTTACTGTATGTGAGGAGAATCGTGGATCGACTTGTGATCAAACAATTGAAAAAAATACCTATGTACATGGGCCTTGGTGGCTCGTTGCTTTGCTGAGTGATGGACTTCGGGTGCTCACAATCTACCGATACCTGTCTCATGGAAACTCACACACAGTAACTCAGGACGACTCTAAACAAGGCGACCTTGGACCAGTCCACACATGTCAACGTCAGAGAAACTCGGATTGTTTCGATGTCAGCAATTTCTGCCGAACTCGTTGCAGGTCGCAGGTGAATCAGTGGCGGGCATGATTTGTGGACCTTCCGAATTGGGCTGGGAGACCACAGATGTGTTCATGGTTCCTGCAGAGGGGGGGAATGTGAACTCTGAAGGCATACACATGAAGGGGCAGTGTCACGGAGGTTTTCCTTATGAAAGGGGTGCTTAAAACATGGAGTTGTGATGATAATGAGAAATCAGGAAGATGCAGATGCTTGGCCTAGTCATAGTCCGTCGCAGTACGACAAATTTGTGGCTACAAAGTGATGTCCTTTTTGGGGGGAGGAAGCATCCTTCAGGGTGGGCCGGGCCATGTTCTTTTCAGGTGGGCCATGTAAGCATTCCCTTGTGAGGAGGACTCGCTCTCCGCCAAGCGAGGGAAGCATGATGTAGCATGATGTGGCCGCTAGAGATGCCAACTCGCTGTTGATTGCACGGGCAAGCTGTCTTCAGCCTTGGCCAAGCACTCAACGGTTGGATATAGCTGTGTATGAAACCGGTTACAAGGCGTCCTTGATTGGTTGTTTTCCAACTCCTTTAGTGTGAGTTGGCTTCGTTCCACCCCTGATTTCAAAGGTAAGAAGATGCATGTCTCCTGTGAGCTTCAGGAAAGAGAGCCCTTAAGAGTATGTGGATGATCCACCTCCTTGGAATGGAGAAGTGACAAGAGCTTGAAATGCGGAGATCCACATTTGAGATGCCGTGGAGGTCGACGTCGTGGACATCGAACCATATCCAACCTGCGGAGATGGCACAAAAGTTGCAAAAAGTGGTCGACATCACAAAACTGACTGGTGCTTAGTAGGGAATGAGGGAATGGATCTCAAAAAGGAATCTCGATTTAGAAAAGTTGCCAAAGAGGAATGGTCGACACTGCACAAAGCTGGGAGACGATGCCGACATGGTGACATGATGTTTGACTGATTGTCTTTCCAATCCCAGCTTTGAGGGAGACCTACGACATGAAACCTATATAGTTCACGGGGACTGAAATTTCATGGGTTTCCTGTAGATGTTCTCTTGAAATCCCTTGAACTCCATTGATTCCAACCCGCAGAACCACCGCCGAAGCTGACCGTCCAACCTAGGCTGGTCAGGGGATGCAGCCAAGGCGGTGGTCCTTAACGGTCTGAAGGCGCCGCGGTGAAAAGCGCGTGGGCCACGGCGGCCACGGCCAGGTGAAAAGTGCGTGGGGGTGCGTTGGGGCGCGTGGGGGCGCAAAGCATGTGTTAAAGGAATTCTACACACAAGTCTCGAAGTGGTGATTGTTGGGGTACTTGATGTTCTTCAACTCCTTCCTACTTTTGGAAGAGCGGCACACCTTGCCCTTCCTCAGTTGCAGTGGTTTGGTCCGTAACTTGCCACTGGCCGTTGGTGGAAAACCAGAGATCCCAAGGGCCGTGCAGCACCGCTCAGGTGGGTGCCGCCGCTCCTTCCTCGGACCCGCACGGCTCCAAGAGCCATGGGCATGATAAAAGCGTGCCACACCACAAGGAGGGGCACAAGGACTGGGTTGGTTAGACTGTCAGATTCATTTCCTCGAATTCCGCAAGGTGAACTTGTGAACTGTAAACTGAGGATTCGTATGTGGAACAGTATGAAGCAGAAGAAGCTCCTGGTTGTACTGTCTTTGTTCTTTTTGTGCTTTGGCCCAGTGATTTGGTCGTGTGTTCTTCTTACAAGCTGGGGAGGTCTCAGTTCGAGTGGTTGGTCATAAGTTGCACTGCCGTGGCCCGTATCTTGGATTGCCCCGGACGGCCACTCCGAGTTCGGAACACCTGGTTCGATGGTGTGGTTGGAAGCTGATGTGTCGAGGACATGAAACAGAAGAAGCCAAAGGGAAAGGATGCCAAGAAAGTAGCTCGGTTTGGAGAGAGAGAGAGAGAGAGATGTCAGCTGATAGGGTTTTTCAGGGAGTCGCATTGGGAAGAACTCCTTTGACCAGAGGAGTCGCAGAACTTGGGAGTCTCAATCCAGACATATCCAGACCATGTGTGACAGAGGGGTTGATTTGGCAACTATTTGGAGAGCTGCAGCTAATCAGCTGCAGAGGTTTGTCAGAGATTTGCCAATTCTGTCAGCCGCTCAGGAAGAGGAGGAGGCCAAGGAGGCTTGGAGTCACCGCTGTTCAACACTCGCTTCTGAAACTCCAAAAATTCATCTGAAACCAACGAACTAACTATCCGTAACTATTCGCAACTGCTGTTCAGTTGTGTTCGTCTTCAGTAACTGTTCCTCGCATTCTTCAGAAACTATGTTGATCTATGTTGCATTCTTCAGAAACTATTTGAATTCCTTATGAGGACAAAACTATTCTTTAGAAACTCCACACTGTTCTTCCACATTACATGGATGAAGAAAACGGCTAGGGATGTGCAGTTGGGGGGAGGGTGCTTTTGGATGACATCTTCTGCAATGTTGGAGGTTGGGGGGAGGCTCCTTGACGTCCTGTGACAGCTACAATACATCCTGTAAGTTAAGTGACAGCTACGGCTACCATACATCCTGTCACCAGCAATTAGAGGGGATGACTGTCACTGAGTCTCACTGGTACAAGCGACGTACCCTGTTAGTCGTTCTTCATTTCTTCATCCGGAGCATTCACATTGGAATACCCCCCAGGCCGGCGAATTGAAAAGACAGTGACCTGCTGTCACAACTATGTTGATTCGAGTTCGTGTCTGTGTCACCTGCCCTTTTGTTCGACTTCACACCCAGATGTCCCAAGAAAGCACCGCTCCGTCTCCGCGTCGAGGAGGACCACGAAGAAGGTGAAGAGGTCCACAAGGAAAGGAAAAAGCCCAGGGCAAAGGACAAGAAGGCTGCAGGTGAGAAGGCACCTGAGGAAGCCAAGAAAGAAGAGAAAGTGGAGAAAGCCAAGGAGGAGGCAGAGGGGAGCTGGCTCCATGGTTTTCCAGCTGAATACCTTGCGGGAGCTTCAATGGCGTTGTTGCCAGACAGCTCCTTGTCTGCAGACCGCAGACGCGGCAAACGAGCGACGTGCCAGGAACAAGAAGAGCCTGATAACGTCGCCAAGGACACGACAAAACCGAAAACGTGACTCCTTGTCCTTTGAAAGGATGAGGAGGGACTGCTAAGTCTGTCTGATGAGGGTTTAGGGTGAATATTGTGTGCGTGTGTGTGCGGGGAGAAAAGTGCAAAAAGAAACCCGATGTGGCTTGGTTTACTGTGTCCGCCAGCCATCAATGGCTCGCTCTATCGAAATCAAAGCCGTTTTGACGACTGATCGTGGCCAGCAAGTGCTTTCCCAATCATGCCTTCGTCTAGGTCATTCGAAGCAGTAGACAACAAAGTCTGAGAAACAGTTCAAGAGATGTCCATGTTCCAGCATGTTCACAATGACATTGATTCTTGACATAGTTCTGCATCCCTGTCTACCTACGAGAAGTATTCCACACGGGGTTGTGCATTTTCAGGATGCCTACCTTCTCCGGACCAGACTAACCCACTTCCCCGGGACCAGACCCCGCCCGACCCGTGCGTCGCGTTGCGTCCAGGACTCGGGTGGTCAACATGGCGCCTCAGCTGCAGAGACGGAAAAGATGTCGGTCTCCCGGTGCGGTGCCATGTGCCATGAGCCAATTGACTCACTGGTCCAGTTGACATGGTGAGATCCAAGCGGATAGAGTTGTATATCATGTTACAATGTACTGTTCACGCACCCGAATTGGAGTGTCCAATCTTAAGATCTTTCAAGAACTCTGGGTCACGAAACCGGTCGCTCGTCACGGGTCGTTGCTGGAAGGTGGTCGCAGTGCCCCTTTCCGTGCCTGGGTGGTGATCCCGTCTCCAGGTGAATACAAAGTGGCCAAAGTGAAGAGTGTGGAGTCGATGAAGAAGAAAAAGGGGCGCGGCAACCCATGTGGAACGACCGTCCGGGACGGGACAGACCTGAGTCGCGGGGACATACCCTCCGTCCCGGGGTCGAGGAGGGTGCAACTGGTGTGACATGAGACGGGACTGTGACCTGTGACCTGTTGTTTGCAGCTGTTCAGCAACTCTGGGGTCACCCCTGGCCCCTGCCCTATCAAAATGTTCCAAGGTCACGTGAAGTGTTGAAGTCGAGCGAGAAAGTGACGAAGAAGAAGGCTTAAATGATCTTGTAATATACCTAGAACCTGAGTGACCCCGGAGGATCAACTATCCAAAATATTCCAAAATATTGCCTTTTCGTATCAACAAGGAGGCCAAAAGGGTTCTAGGTATGCATACTACACTGCCTGAAGCAATCATGGAAGTGGAACATAGGCGCAAGACCATCTTCGTCTACAAGAGGTTTGCTCAGCCTCCATGCAGAACCGGCCCAGTTCTACATCCTTTGAAAAGAATGCCTTCAATCACCCATGTCTCACACCACCAGGCATGTTTATTCTTCACTGCGCACATATATATATATATATATATATGCAGCACTGCACGCATTTGCTGACGCACTTTGTGCGCCTTCTCTCAAGAGGTCCTTCTTTGTGGAGCTGGAGACCGCCAGCGGAGCTGCAAGTGTGGTTCGGGCCTCTCAGTATGTGGAGAGCACATACCTGACGGCCTCCTCCGGGCCTGGGAGCGGTCCGCTTTGCATCCAAGCGACAACTCGAATTACTTGGTTTCGATGGACTTCTCTGCTCGGGGGAAGTCACGCGAACATGACGGGATTTGGGGAGCATTGGGAGATGCTGTATATGGACATATATGGACAGTGTTGAAGTTCGGTCGAAGTTCGTCTAGAGACTCCGAACGATTCAGAAGGGAAATATTGAGAGTAACGTAGTCTCTTGATGATATTTCACCCACCCAGTTGAATTGGACATCCTCATGACCTCATAGGGGGTCTTATGGTCCTCAAGAGTGGACGAGGAGCCTTGCGGCCGGCACCTCATCATCCCGACCGGTTCAGATGATCCAATGTATGTGGGACACGGCACGGCACGGCCGTACTGGTGCCACACAGTGTGGTGCCACACCTGGGGGAAGATGCCAGCCAAGCCCTAAACATCCCGAAAAAAACACATAAGCCCACATGGATTTGTAGCTTGACTTGCATGTCGCAGGGTCAGGGTTGACTTTCATTTCTTTCAGTGTTGTTTGTTGCCAAATTCCATGCACCTCTAGTCATGCAGCTTCGAACTGCTTACCGGCCTTCCGATTGCGGATCAATGGAAAAGCCGGCCCCAACTTCAAACCCGGAGACACCAAAGAATACCGAAGGATGGAGGCTATGGCTCGACATTGCGACATGGTGGTGATTGGAAGAGACATAGGGGGTTGTACCGCAAGGCCCCCCCCAAAGCTTCCTCCCCCATCCAGCTTGGGATGGCATCATGAAATTTCCTTTGGCGGCAATTCTTCGCTAGAAGACTCGGTTTCTTCAGGCCAAAGTCAACGGCCGGCCTCCGTTGCCGCTGCCTTCGACCGGAAGACCGTTCGAGGTGACCAGCTTCGACAATTTGGAAGAAGGCCAGTGATGAGCTCAGCCAGGAAGAGTTGTACAGGCCCCCAAATAGATATAAAAGTGAAATCCCTTTCAACATGTATTGGAAAACGTTTCTATCTATTTTGGGACAACTATAAAGTCTATAGAGATTATAGAGGTTCAGAGGGGGCGACACGTCCGGCGACACGGCCGAGTGACAGGAAGGTGATCAATAGATCCAAGCTCTAGTGACTCTAGATGACTCTAGTGATCTCTAGTAGAGTCTAGTCTGTTGTGCGTGTGTATTTTTTCCGTTTTAGAGGTGATCAATATATGCAAACCCAAGTCTGATATTATCTTATGTTGGTGCACATCGCCCACAGCCTATCAGGGGTGCACATCCAGCAAGTGTTGGTGGTTGAGTTGGGAAACTAAACGCAGCCCCCCAAAAAAGGTAAGCAAATGGGGGTTACCACAGAAACCCAACCAATTCTGGAGACCAAATTGGTGCTTGGTGTTGCAGGAGCAGAACATCAACCATACAGGCCTGTCAACCTTGTGCCTGTCACCGCCGCCTTTATATCCATCCTTAGTTGCAGCAGTGAACCGTCACCGTCACCGTCACCGTCGCCCGGCAGCGCCAAGGTTGGTGATTTTCGCCCCCGAGGGCTCCAGCGTCCTGGGCAAAGAAGTGAAGCGGCAGAAGGTTCCGCCGTCCCCGACCCGTCCCGCACCCGGCGTCGATGCGGACGAGCGACCGCCCGCGGTCGACCGGGACGAAGACAGAAAGACCAGGATCCCGGGACGGGAGAAGCAAAAGGCCATGAGGTGACGATGATTTGAGGTTTGAAAGGGATTTTCGTCAGATGTCACAGGACATGTCTTAGAGAAAGCGCAATGATGCATTTGAAACTGGTTCAACAAGTTTGCCGAAGTGCTCAGATTTGTTAGCCAAAGAATACTGTTCAAGTGCTTGCTGCTTGCTATCTTATCTCAAGACTTGTTTTATCTTAGAGGAATAGGCTTCGGAATAGGAAACGCTTTGACCTTGTGAAGAATGGGTCCACCTTTAAGATTTGTGTAGATCACTGGAAGGGTGTCTCTAAGAACATCCGAACCCTGACCAAGATGGGAACAAGGACCGCATCGTCCACGACGACCGTATTAGTTCTATGCACTCTGCATCGGACGGCGAATTCAGGGGCCAGAGGTTCTTGAATCGAACAACAAAGTCCTGGAACTGGAACTCAGACACCATGTTGACCCCTGTTTTGATAGGAAGTTGGATCATTTTGGGTCCTTGGTGGTCCAAAATCGTCCAAAACAGGTTCTAGCTCAGATCCGGATCTACTCGCAGCGGGATCGGTCGCAGGTCGCGGGCGAATGGGCAGCTGGAGCGATTTGTGGACCGATGGAAATGGGTGACCTGCCCCGCGTCCGCGTGGCGTCCGCGTGGCGTCGGAGGGCAGCGTAGAGAAGGATGAAGCGTGGAAGCGTGGCGTCGGGACCTACTGGAGTCACTTGATAGGGAGTCATTGGTCGAACAAATATGTGGATGTTTTTTTGGGGGGGGTGTTTGGGGTAAAATGGAGACTTAAGAGTGCAAAGGAAGACTGTAGTGACATCGGGGTTGGTCTTCCTTTGCAGCCAAGATCTACCAAGATCCAATTTTCAGCAAATAAGCTTCGAATCACTCCTTTTCAGCCCCGTTGTGGCATCTAATGGCGTCCCCTCGGTGTGTTTCAACCCGCCCTTGCCATTAGCTCCTCTAACTCTAAGTGAGAGACCTGATATCCACATCTTATCCCAGGATGATAGCTCGACAATCTGCCAGTAAGCTAACGGTCATGCACAACAACACCAAAAAGAACCATGGGGGGCCTGACTTCCCTAGTTGAAGACGTTGAAACTGTTGAAGTGTCATCATGTTGCTTCGGTTCGAACATGGGTGCTTCGTTCGATCAAAGTGTCCTCCACTCCGGGTGTCTGACTTCCAAGCGACTCCATTGGGACTCTTGGACTGACCCAATGGATCCCACCTTTTTGTCGGGTCATGACGAAACGTGGATGACACCGTCCCCAGCTTCGTATTGTGGCGAATGGCAGGCTGGGTCGGGGACGCTTCAAAGGCAGTCCTTCTGCCCAGCACGTACAAGGCGAGGGTAGGTAGATCAGATCAGCCGGATCTTGGGCTACAGATGGCTAAAAAAATGTAAAAAAGCTATGCAGGATCCGTTCTTTTTGGGAGCTTTTCAAGAGACCTTGGAGGATTGCTTTGATCTGTTTGGTGAAACGGGTGGGAAGACGGGAACCCCGGAGAGAACCGGAGACCCGTCGCGACCAGCACAAGCGCTCTTTCAGCTCAACCTGCTTGGGTCTTGTATCAATGCCTCAGAATTTCAAGTCGCACCAGCTCAGCTCAGCTCCTCTGAGAAGCTCAAACTCCGAAAGCACGAGCGAAAGCTCCACGCCCTCGGGATAGTGGAGTATCCCGATTTGAGATGCCAAATGCACAGAAAGCAGACCTGCACCCGGCCTGGGAAAACAACAAGAAGAATAGAAGAATCCTAAGGATCCGCACCCTTAAAAACAAGGGTTTTGATGGTACAAACCCTTGTTATAGAGGGTTCGACCCCTTCTAAGGATGGTCCAAGGATCCTTAGGGAAGAACACCAGCAGATCCACCACCTGCAGGTCGGAGCTGCTGCTCCGGCAGATGGTGTCTAAGACTCTCGAGGCTGGCCGGAACGGCTTGGAAAAACCGAAGCTTCGCATGGCATACCTGGGAAACACGAGCGACTCAGAGCGAGAACTCAAAACGATCATGTTCCCAAGTTGGTCCGACAGGGGTTCCTTTTGGACTTGAAACCAACCAAACCAAACCAAACCAAACCAACCAACTGAAAGAAAACACATCCGTCCGGATGTCGTTGCACAGCGTCCGAATGGTTCGATGTGTTTTCTTCTTCGGGGTGGCGCCAGGAAGATGCTACTGGTTGTGACATGGCTGTAGGTCAAGACCAGGATATATGATGTTGGGGCTCCAGGTCTTGACTCTGACCCATCCCCACATGTGACTGTCAAGAGCCAGACAACGCCGCGCGCAACCTTATTCTATTTTATCTCTTTTGGACATGTGAAAGTGCCGTGCCATTGCGAAAGACTAGATGTGGAAGGCAGTGGAAGGCATTTGTTTCTTGATCGTTTTTTCTGAAGAACGATACGAGGTACCGGGGTACTGGGTATGCTTTTCGGTGCTTTTGGGTATCGGCATGCTCTTGTGAAAGTTCATCCCAAACATGACGATTCGGGTTCGGCTCATCGCTCAGCATCTGGGTGATTCAGGCATCGCTTGGCGGAGACCTATGTGTACAGTTTGCAGGTGTGCCATGTCGAACTCTCAGAGCAAAGGACTGACTCCGAATGTCTGACGTTCTTTGAATTCTGTACGTCTCAGGGTGCCAAAAAGAGCAGCACCAATCACAACCAAAAGGTATAGAAATTATTAATATATATATATAATATATATCATTATAAATTATGAATATTGTATATGTTGAAAATATTTAATTGATAATATTATTGATATATTTAAGGTATTATATTGCTTTTTTATTACTTGATAAATTAGCCCAGCTGGAGACCCCAATAGCAAAATACAAACCGGGACAAAAAGAAAAATCTGGAAACAGCTGCTGTTTTCAACACATCGACCATCTCTTCCTTGGACACAATCATCACATAACCGCGACACCATCACAAAATGACCAGGGCACCATCAAAACATGACCGAGACACCGTCACAACATGATTGGGACACCATCACAACATAACCGGGACACCATCACAAGGTGACCGAGACACCAGCATGACATGACGGGGACACCATCACAACATGACCGGGACACTATCACAACATGACCGGGACACCGTCACATGACCCGGACCCCATCAAAACATAACCGGCACACCGCCAAAACATGACCAGGACACCATCACAACATGACCGGGACACCATCAAAACATGACCGGGACACCACAACATGAGCGAGACACCATCACAACATGACTGGGACACCGTCACAACATGACTGGGACACAATCACATGACCGGGACACCATCACAAGGTGACCGGGACACCAACATGACATGACGGGAAAACCATCACAAGATGACCAGGACACCATCACAACATGACCGGGACACCGTCACATGACCCGGACACCATCAAAACATAACCGGCACACCGCCAAAACATGACCAGGACACCATCACAACAGGACCGGGACACCATCAAAACATGACCGGGACACCGTCACAACACGACCGGGACACCATCAAAACATGACCGGGACACCATCACAACATGACCGGGACACCATCAAAACATGACCGGGACACCATCAAAACAGGACCGGGACACCATCACAACATGACTGGGACACAATCAAAACATGATCGGGACACCATCACAACATGACCGCGCCACCATCACATGATCGGGACACCATCAAA